AGGAGTGGATATTAATGACATTATCACAAGATGGGGCAGTTATGGATCTGTGGCATGAGGGATATGTAATGTTCCAGGTCAGGAAGTAATATAGACAGAACTAGGGTTGATACTGATAGTGGCGGCACGAGGATAATTAGTACTATTTGCGGCACTAGGATGAGTAGTGATACTATTTGCACCACGATAAACCGTGATATTGGCGGCACTAGGATAAACCGTGATATTGGCGGCACTAGGATAAATAGTGATATTGGCGGCACTAGGATAAATAGTGATATTGGCGGCACTAGGATAAATAGTGATATTGGCGGCACTAGGATAAATAGTGATATTGGCGGCACTAGGGCAGGCAGGGAATGTCAAACTAGGCAAGGAAGTGATGTATTTATCACTAGAGCAGATAGTGATTTAAACGCACCAAGCTTTGTAGATAGATATAAAAGCAGATAGTGATTTACATTAAAAGCTGAGATAATATTTTTTTATCCCATAATCTCATTGTATCATTTACTAACAGTGACACGAGGAATGAAAGTTATTGTCTTCAACCCCAAGGTGCTATATATTTGGCAGTATGTTTAGATATTTTTTTATTGTTGTTTTTTAGTTTCATGCAATTCCGCGACTTTTTCGCTTTCTCTTGCTAGTCTGGCCCACAGGATGCAAATCAATGTTCACCAGGCATAAAAATGCCATCACACGGAAGTGAGTTTAGAATTATACGGCCATGTACAAATATCCGCAAAAAAAACAGAATGAATCGCGGGATAGAAAATTAAAAAAAACGAAATCGGAACGATAAACAAAAGATTGAGGGGTGAGGGTGGTCATTGCCTTAGCTTCCTTCAAGATTTAATGACACGCTGTTAATCATGATCACGTTTCAAGTTTAAAGCACATTTGTTTATCTTACTACGGTAATCTATGGTCAGTTTAATCCAAGGTGAGCTATAGGCCACTAATATGGCAATTTTTGGCTGTTTTTCAACAATAACGTTCTACTTCATTCGTAAAGTTAATCACATTAAGGACTCGTCCATTGTAACTCTCACTCCCCTTAATTCCCCCGTTATTTGTCACATCCTGAAAGGAGAGATAACTTTAATAAATTTGACCGTTGTTTCTTATTGATTGTCGTGGGTCTGCTAGAGGCGAGCACAGTTTAATTAGGAACCTCATCCCCCTAATCTGTTCTTCTTTCGGGCTATGTCAGATTGGCTGCCCCGTCTCCCTCTGTAGCATGCTATTATTTCATAGGGTTAGTGCACGTCGATGTATAGGCACTGCCGACAGATCGGGTTTTGTGCTAGCATTAAACAGCAAATGAAAATCAAGGAGATTTCAATTGCTAGCTGGAATTGACTTTATCCTATACTTTTTACACGACGTACTTTTTTCGCAACTGCAATTTGAATGTATTGCTGTTTCTAACTCGGCTTGTCTAAGCAGCACAAAAATAGACATTTCAATTGTGGCGGGTCGCTGGTTCGCTTGGGTCCTCCGTAGTCCCGTATGAGAGGACGGTGTAGTGACTAGTTGTTCCAGAAATGTGTATAACGTAGTTGTCTGACACAGCCGCAGAAAAAGGGCGCTTGTTCCTTCAAGCAGCTACCTATCACCACCTCGGCTCGTCCCAATCCCAAATATGTGATGTCGGCGAGCATTGAGAGGAATCCATATTGGACATGGCGTCAACATTTCACGTGACTAAAACTCCTGGTCCTAACATGTTGCTTAATATCAAATTATTTTATTATTTGCACATGTATTAACCATGAAATTCTATTTTTTTCTCAAAATCAGCGTCATGTTATACGACCTATAGTGTGTATGCGGAGGGATAGGTAGGTATGCGGTTTACTTGAAATCACCTGATATCACTACGCCAGTGCTCCCCGTGGTGTTGTGGAAGGGAATTATGGGAATGGACCAGTCTGATACGACCACTGGAAGCTGTGATCAATTTCCCATCACGTGTCAATCTGTCAGAATATATACATATTTCCTCGCCACGTCGAGACGGGCCCTGGTTGTGTTGACATTACGTTACAATAAGAATGAATGAATGTAAGCACATACCTGATGGGTCATGCTAGAGGTTAGGTTGCTTTATTCTCAAACCGCCGCTACCACATTGGTTGTAAACGCCATAGAAATATAGTATTATTTTTATGATTTATGTTATTATGACATCGCACGACTATTGCTGAAAGTTTGGCTGTGCTTTCACGATGAATGTCGTCACTCTATTACTTTCACACACGTACGATAGTCGTAGCGACTGTACAACTTTGTGGAACAAGGGCTCCTTATTCTTAAGTCACAAAGCCTTAGTGCTATGACTTACGTCGTAACTCCCATACATAAACGTCGAGTTTCCATAGAGATACCCCTAAGTGTGTTGTGCTCCCCGCCCTAACAACCCTGTATTGTGCTACCCGTCCTAACAACCATGTGTTGTGCAACCCGTCCTAACAACCCTGTATTGTGCCACCCGTCCTAACAACCCTGTATTGTGCCAACCGTCCTAACAACCCTGTATTGTGCTACCCGTCCTAACAAGCTGTGTTGTGCCAACCGTCCTAACAACCATATGTGGCACCTGTCCTAACAACCCTGTGTGGTGCCACCTGTCTCTAACAACCACGTGTTGTGCCACCTGTCTCAACAACACTACATGGCCTCACAGCTGTGTCCTGATACTGGGGTGAATGCATTACTAGGCATATTCCTGTGGGTCTGACGATATCAATTATTAGGGAATATGCTTAATTAAAACAGTGGGAGAAATTAAAATTGTCCTATAACTAACTTATCCTCCACGACGGAGAATTTGGGGGAGCGTCCGTCACGGCATATTGTCATGCGTTCGTCTGGCCAGCGTTAATTGTGAGGCATGTTGTAAACATATTTTATTCAGTAATTAATATGGGTAATGAGATAGGGAACAGGTTTCGCAATGGGCAAACCCTCTTAAATTTACTGATAATAATCTCCTTTAAAGCCACATAGCCTTTTAGCTTTGATGAATGTCACTGCTTGCATTATCACAAAACTTTTAGTGAAACAGTCTTTGAATGCTTAAAACTGTTTTATACTAATCCGGGGTTCTTAGCTTTCACAGTGATTGATATCTTTCAGCAATGTTAATTGCTTAAACATTGAACTTGACGTAGATCTTGGCATATTTAATATATATTAATTGTCAAGTTACATGACATAAAGTCACAGTTTAGTGCCTAATTACAGTGCGTGGCATTATGCCCCTCTCGACGTATTTGTGCATTCTCAGCTCCCTTTGGAGTATATGATATCACCTTCATTCATAATTGACTGCATACTCTATAACCAGAAGATATGTGTTTAATTTCTGGAAGCAAGGACGTTAGAACAACGCGAAAGATGACAGCGTTTAGTTTACACCATCAATATCTATGTTGTAGAAGGGTTGTTAATAATAACTGTCATAGTCTATGTTGTATGAGTACCCTCCATTCTCAATGGCAACTGTATCAAATATTGATAGCCAGTATATTGCACCTGTCTGAATAATTACTGTATATTGCCTATGCTACTTAAGCAAAGAGACCTACGAACAATATCGCCTGTATGACAAATAGCCTATTCATTGTAAGGCCACTGTCTCATGGACATGTTATCTGAGTGAAATATTACCTCCCTTATCAATACGACAGAGTAGTATCCAACGTATAATACTCAGTGCATCACGTACTCAATGCATCACGTACTCAGATGACAAATGTCTGCGGTATATGCGTGACCAATTACTATCAAACAGGTTTACGTCCTGTGCCCAGCGTTAATGTCCAGGTCAGCGTTTCTGTGTGTATAATTACTGCGTAATAGAAGTAGTCAGCACCTAGAGGATATGTTTCATATATGAATAACTATCTCCTTATGCATGTGAACCGTGTATGACTAGATACTTACAGTCTGACGCGACAGCTCTTGTAATTAGAATGAGTTTGTGATCAGGATGAGTTATGGTGGAGTTTGGGAGTATCCCTTCCCTTATAAGCCTGTTATCAAGTTGTGAAGGCTATCATCCGGAAGCTACACGTATTGGAAAGTTTCCTAAAGAGATTTTTTGGATGGGCAGTTTTTACAAATCACCTAAACGCACGCAAACATGTCTTCCTCATCAAATAGTTCTACGCGAGTCGGTACTGTTTTCGTAGTACATCAAGTCCGCAGACACACACATCGTTTCAGAGGCGAAGAAAAACGAGGGGAGCAATAACGTTTAATTGAATATGACTATGTGTACAAACCATGTGTGTGGCTGTGCGTCTTTTGAGACTATGAACACGTGCGTGAATCTGTTATGCCGGTATATATTTATTACGCGCAAAATACCCTGCGTATGTGCGTGCGTGCGTGCGTGCGTGTGTACACTTGTATGTATGCATGACACATGTAATGTAAATATGAAACTTCTGTGTAAATGTGATAATCTGTACACTTACATCACTTTCGTATATATTCCACGTGTGTAGCTATGGCATATGTGTGCTTCAATGCTACGTATATGTATCTATATATGTTTGACAGGATTGACACGCGTGTATGTACTATGACGATATGTATTACTGTAATACTCCATGACACATGTCTGTAACTATGACATGTGTGTATCTTTGTTTGTTTTGTTTGATTTTTAACGCCACACTCAGCAATATTCCAGCTATATGACGACGTCTGTAAATAATCGAGTCTGAACCAGACAATCCAGTGATTGATATCATGAGAATCGATCTACTCAATTGGAATACGATAACATGCATCAACCAAGTCAGTGAGCCTGACCACCCGATCCCGTTAGTTGCCTCTCTTACGACAAGCATAGTCGCCTTTTACGGCAAGCATGGGTTGCTGAAGACCTGTTCTGACCCGGATGTTCACGGGTCATGTGTGTATCTATGACGTGTGTATCTATGACGTGTATGTATCCCTGACACGTATGATGTGTGTTGTAGGAGTGGCAGGACGTGCTGTTGGCGTGGAAGAAGGAGGAGTACGACAACATCACCGACATTCGCATCCCGTCTGACAAGATCTGGCTTCCCGACATCCTGCTGTATAATTTGTAAGTAACCTCCCCCAACTCCCCTCAGTGCCGTGGTTTAGGCAAAGGTGAACACCCTCTACCTTAATGTGCGTGTGGAAGGAGAAGGGACCTTAAGTGACTACATCCTTCATCCCCCCACTCTCAACGCTGTGGGGGGCGCGGGTGGCCCAGTCGTCTAAGGCGCCGCGATTCGCTGTGCAGTCCCCGAGAGTTGCGTCCCTTGGGCATGCCAGAAACCTATGATTGTGGGTTCGAATCCCGGTTCGCCCCGATTATGTTTCTAGGTTTGTCAGCACCATACCCGTGCTCGTGGGTTTCACCGAAGTGGTAAACGTCTGAGACCTGCATTACTTCGGGCTTTCCTCCCACATTAAGCTGACACGCCGCGATATAACTGGAATACTGTTAAAAGCGGCGTTAAACTAAACTCACTCACTCACTCACTCAACGTTGTGTGTAATAATGTACTTTGTAAACTTGTAAAACGTATTATTTCGTCCTTGTGATACTTTAGCTTGTAATCGTAGCCCACGAGCTGTCCTCGATAGCTTATGCAGTGGTGCTTCGTCTCCTGTGTATCCGTCATAACATCTAATCAGGCATTTTCCCTTCAGCGTCTTCATATATGGCGAACAATTAAGACACGGGGCCTATTTCAGTCAAATACTTATAATTAGTTTTTACATTAGGAACGCATCGCTTGCTATAAAGTGATTAAGTTGGAGTCGTAACTGTACTGTTTTGTCCTTTTCTGACAAAAGGTCTGTAGCTAAGACAGACGCATTCACATTCTGTGTAGGTCGCACAGGTATTTAATCTGCAGCTAAGACAGACGCATTCACATTCTGTGAAGCTCGCACAGGTATTTAATCTGTAGCTAAGACAGACATATTCAAATTCTGTGAAGCTCGCACAGGTATTTAATCTGTAGCTAAGACAGACATATTCACATTCTGTGTAGCTCGCACAGGTATTTAATCTGTAGCTAAGACAGACATATTCACATTCTGTGTAGCTCGCACAGGTATTTAATCTGTAGCTAAGACAGACATATTCAAATTCTGTGAAGCTCGCACAGGTATTTAATCTGTAGCTAAGACAGACATATTCAAATTCTGTGTAGCTCGCACAGGTATTTAATCTGTAGCTAAGACAGACATATTCACATTCTGTGTAGCTCGCACAGGTATTTAATCTGTAGCTAAGACAGACATATTCAAATTCTGTAAAGCTCGCACAGGTATTTAATCTGTAGCTAAGACAGACATATTCAACTTCTGTACACTACCCTCAACACGTGCCATCCATTCACTACCCGCAACATGAGTCACCTATACACTACCCACAACATGTGTCATCCACCTACTACCCGCAATATGTGTCATCCCTACACTACCCTCATAATACGTCATCCATACACTACTCTCAACATGTGTTATCCATACACTACCTGCAACATGTGATCTCTACACTACACACAGAACGTGTCATCCATACACTACCCGCAACATGTATCATCTGTTCACTACCTGCAACATGTGTCATCCATACACTACCCGCAACATGTGTCATCTATTCACTACCTGCAACATGTGATCTCTACACTACACACAGAACGTGTCATCCATATACTTCCGGCAACACGTATCATCCATACACAACCCACAACACCTGATCTCCTCACTACCTGTAACACGTGTCATACATACACTTGCCGCAACATGTGATCTCTCCACTATTAACACCCTGCGATCTAGCTTGTTGACTTCAAGGCAGACAATAAAACGGTATCTCCAGTGAAGTGTCCACTACGGGTCCTCGACATGTGTGGTCACAACAACGCCCAAGTGCTGATTGGTAGCTACAAGAATGTGGAATCGAATTGATACCGCTGTTTTGAAATGACAGGTCGTTTTATTGACATTTATCATTTTACCAGCAGTTGATGACTGGCTAGGAGTGGTTAATGAAGTTCGATTTGCTATCGTTAGCTATTAGACTGAGACTATGCTACGGCCGATGTTGGTCTGTAGATTTATCAGTTGCGCTAACCTTCCACCAATAAAGCAACCATTTGAGCCTCATCGCAGTCCCGGCCACACGGCCGCCAATTACATAAAGTCATCTATCACGAAACCGCCGGCCGCCACGTTGCGTCGATGAAGCAGCCGCGAGGCGAGCAACACTCCTCACTTCCTCGATAAAACCAGCTAATTTGTTTAGATCCAGGAATTAAAAACCACAATGGTTTAAGCCCCGATCATAAATCTGCCTAGAGCATGTTAGCTTCTGCTTGAATAGAGTGTCATCTTAACTATATGTGAGCATCTCCCATCGCCAAATATCTTTGTTCGGTTTAAAGATACCAATTAGCGTCAGCGAACATGTCATTACAACCCTAGACTTGAGAACATTTTTAAAAGGTCCGGAGGAATTGGTACCAACATACGTGTATGGAGACTATCCCTCCTCGAGCGAGGGAAGTATTAAGATGTACCAATATCTTCCTGTAGATGATAATGTCACATAATATCGAGCACAGACTGTCACATTTCAAATTACGATAAGTCCAGTTTGTTCTGTTAATTCACACTGGCACATGCCGACGGTCACATTCTGGTAGCTGATTGGGTGTTGTATTGTCAGATTACACATTAAATATGTCATATTCTAGTTGCCTATCACAGTTTTTCAAGTCTTGACAGTAACGTTACCTCCTGATTATGACTGATGTCTCACATGTTCCGCCCCCTGATCATGACGTAATGTTTCCCATATGTTGCCTACTGATCATGACGTAATTATACGTGTCGCCTCCTGATCATGACGTAATGTTTCCCATATGTTGCCTACTGATCTTAACGTAATTATACCTGTCGCCTCCTGGTCATGACGTAATGTTTCCCATATTCTGCCTACTGATCTTAACGTAATTATAGGTGTCGCCTCCTGGTCATGACGTAATGTTTCCCATATTCTGCCTACTGATCATGACGTAATTATACGTGTCGCCTCCTGGTCATGACGTAATGTTTCCCATATGTTGCCTACTGATCATGACGTAATTATACGTGTCGCCTCCTGGTCATGACGTAATGTTTCCCATAGGTTGCCTACTGATCATGACGTTATTATACGTGTCGCCTCCTGGTCATGACGTTATGTTTCCCATATGTTGCCTACTGATCATGATGTAATTATACGTGTCGCCTCCTGGTCATGACGTAATGTTTCCCATATGTTGCCTACTGATCATGACGTAATAATACGTGTCGACCCCTGATTATGACGTAATGTTTCCCATATGTTGCCTACTGATCATGACGTAATTAAACGTGTCGCCCCCTGGTCATGACGTAATGTTTCCCATATGTTGCCTACTGATCATGACGTAATTAAACGTGTCGCCCCCTGGTCATGACGTAATGTTTCCCATATGTTGCCTACTGATCATGACGTAATTATACATGTCGCCTCCTGGTCATGACGTAATGTTTTCCATAGGTTGCCTACTGATCATGACGTAATTATTCGTGTCGCCTCCTGGTCATGACGTAATGTTTCCCATATGTTGCCTACTGATCATGACGTAATTATACATGTCGCCTCCTGGTCATGACGTAATGTTTTCCATAGGTTGCCTACTGATCATGACGTTATTATACGTGTCGCCTCCTGGTCATGACGTAAGGTTCCCCATATGTTGCCTACTGATCATGACGTAATTATACGTGTCGCCCCCTGATCATGACGTAATGTTTCCCATATGTTGCCTACTGATCATGACGTAATTATACGTGTCGCCTCCTGGTCATGATGTAATGTTTCCCATATGTTGCCTACTGATCATAACGCAATTATACGTGTCGCCTCCTGATCATGACGTAATGTTTCCCATATATTGCCTACTGATCATGACGTAATTATACATGTCGCCCCCTGATCATGACGTACTGTTTCCCATATGTTGCCTACTGATCATAGCGTTTATTATATGTGTCGCCTCCTGATCATGACGTAATGTTTCCCATATGTTGCCTACTGATCATGACGTAATTATACGTGTCGCCTCCTGGTCATGACGTAATGTTTCCCATATGTTGCCTACTGATCATGACGTAATTATGCGTGTCGCCTCCTGGTCATGACGTAATGTTTCACATATGTTGCCTACTGATCATGACGTAATTATACGTGTCGCCTCCTCATCGTGACGTAATTATAACGAGTGTCGCCTCCTAATCACGATGTTATGTCTCATACATGTTGCTTCCTGATCAAGGCGCTATGTTAAACATAGATTCTCTTCCCAAGGTTGTCTCTCCATAATCATGACGTCGTCTCATGACGTAATGTCACGCAAAGGTTATCTGCCTCTGGTCATGACGTAATGTCACGCATAGGATGTTTTCTCTGAACATGACGTAATACCATACATAGGTTGTTACCATGACCATGACGTAATGTCACGCATAGGTTGTTTCCCCTGACCAAGACGTAATGTCACGCATTGATTGTTTCCCCTGACCATGACGTAATATCACGCATAGGTTGTTTCCTCTTACCATTACGTAATTTCAAAAAGTTCTCTCTCAGAATCATGGCGTTATATGTCATATAGTGTGTCCTGAAATGACGTCACGTGTTGTTTCTCCTCATCGTGATGCATTTTGACACAATAACTGTTTTTCATAGTCAGCAAAACATGGACAATTTATATCACGTATTATATTCTGTCTATTTGTCTTTGAATAACATATGATTATGAAAAACGCCAATAATGTTTTGGCACAATTGGGGAAGTTAATGTTTCAGCTTGTTTGAAGCAAACACAATTATTATCACCGATTTCTCCCCACATGAGTCCTGTCAGTTACGGCTCCGTATGTGTTTAAGGAAATATTGGCGTTGCAATATTCCGTGGTGTCGTCTCATGGATTGTGTTATGACGTTTGCATGTAAACCGACTTTGAATCCGAGTCAATGACTCATAGAGAGATCTAAATGAGGATATCGGA